AGGCTTGACTTGTTTGGTGTCTATTTACCCGACGTGACCCCGACTTTTATGTTTTACTAAAAATATGGGTAAGAATAAATGTTTTATAACATAACGTAGGGAAACTTTTTTGATTTTTCTACATTTATGGTACTTTTTTTATTATATAGTAAAAAAAAAAATACCCCCCTTCCCGTGGTGATTATATACCTCCAAAAGAAAGCTCTATCTGTCCCCAAACTTTTTTAACATAAATTGCAAGGCTATAGCCCGGTCATGCTGACTGGTGAAATGTTTGACTGAATGCCTATGCGTATATGGGTGGATGTGATTGTGTGTCTGTATTTGTATGGCTCTAACACTTCCCATATTCCCATATATGAAGTTAAATAACAAACTCATCAAGAAGTCTCTGGAATTGATCAAGGCTATCAGCAGATACCACCGCCCGTGGAAGGGAATTCCACAATTTCACAACTCTCACAGTGAAAAGAACAGATAAACTCTGCCCATTTATCTAAGTTATCAAAACTTTTCTATGGTGAGTGATCATATCCCAGGTTTATAAACTCACATACTGTCAATGCCGATACTGACAATTTATTTATATTATCTACTCTTCATCATATAATACTTTCTAATGTTACTCACTGAGCTTCCTCCTGACCGGTCCAAGCAGTGGCTCCTCTTAGGTTGTTTGGGAAAGGTAAGAATTCAGGACTATGCCTAATCAGTGGCCAGATAAAGCATACCTAAACCCCAAATTAAAAATGTATATTGCCTTAAATGTGATGGCTGCATTAGTTTTTACAGACTAAGAACATTTTCAGCAAGTACAGAAAATACCGGTTAATCCTGCAGGAAATGCAGTGTCCTCCATGTAAGCCAAAATGAAAGCAAAAACATCCTTATCTTTATTGTGTAAACGACTATCCCCATCCACCCACCACGCAATCAGGGCCAGAATAACATAGGGGCTAGGGGCGGGTAGAGCTGCTGCTCCAGGCCCGCCCCTGCCAATAGGCCCGGATCGTCTCGGAATCCGGGCCGGTGACTGGCCGCAATCAGGCAGTGGCGGTCCTCTATTCAGGCATATTAGAGGCCCTAGTGAGGAGCAAGCAGCCGCCTGAATTGAGAGCCTCACCCACCAGTGTCACTCTGCATACCAGGTGAGAGCCTGCACTGGCCGCCTGGAGCCCGCACTGGCCACATGGAGCCCTCACTGACTACCAAGAGCCCGCACTGACCACCAGAGAGCCGGTACTGACCACCAGAGAGCCTGCACTGGCCGTCTGATAGCCTGCACAGTTCGCCCTGAAGCCCTGCACAGCCCTCCTGAGGCCCTGGAGACATCAGGCTGTGAACCGGCGGAGCAACACAGAGTATGTTTCTTCATAGTATTCTGCATTGCTGTATAATGTATTGCTGGGATTTGTAGTCCTCTATAGCTGATGGGATTATTCTCCAGTGCTTAACAATTTATTGCTGGGATTTGTAGTCCTCTATAGTTGGCGGTAATCTGCATTGCTGTGTAATTTATTGCTGGGATTTGTAGTCCTCTATAGTTGGCGGTATTCAGCATTGCTGTGTAATTTATTGCTGGGATTTGTAGTCCTCTATAGT